ATCATAAACCCAGTCTCGTCAAAGTTGTAGATATCTGCATCGTAGATTCCGTACTTCGCTATTGTGTTTCGTACAAGCTCAAACCAGCCTCATTCGCTCGAACCAGCCACGAATGAGTTCTGGATCTTCGCACTTAGCTCTCTGATAGTCGTATTTTCGTTGGAAGCGTGTCTGGAGTTCTGGGCGGCGCTTAACAAAGTTATAAGCCCAACGCGTCCCGACGCGTGGCGCGTCGCGTGCTTCAAGAAGTCGATTTGCTATATCTTCAACTACAGATATCCGCGGAGGAAATCCTTTTGTAGCTAGGTCGAGGATATGTTGAACAAGTACTGATTCCTCTAGCTCGGTCATTTTCCATGAATTGGCTAAAATATCGCGTCGTGAAGGTATACCAAGCAAACGTCGACCTAGCTTCCGGTGGTCTACAGAATAGGTCCTGGCAGCAGCTCGAGCACGTAAATTTGGGTCTTTTTGCATAGCTTGGATAGATAAGACTAACCGGCTTTCGTCATTTTTCAGAGGCATCCTTCGATGTAGAGAAATTTAATATTTCGTGGAGGTGTGGTGGGGTCGCCGGGTTTTGGCCGGTTCGCTTGTTTGGCCGGTTCGCTATACATGCACGTTATACTTAAAAGTTTAATAAAAACTTTATTTATTAATATTTTTATATAACTTATAGTAACTATTATAATAGAATAAGTATATTTAATTACTAGATAAGGGTTTAATATTAATTAATAGACTTATATTTAAACCCTATATAAAGAAAGCTATAGCCTATTTACAATCTATTATAAAAAAAGAACAGCTTATACTACTTACCTTAATTTTATTAAAAGATAATAAAAGAACTTTAACCTAGTATTTATTTAAGGTCTAGAAAAGAGATCTAGACTAAAATTATACCTTTATATTAAATAAAAGCTTATAAGTTATATCTAGTAATAATTAACATTAGAATAACTCAACCTTAAAAGTAATATTTATACCCTCAAAATCTAGTAAGAAACTTAACTATTATATAGTTATAAATATCCTTTGAAAATATAATAAAACTAAGCGCTAACCTTATAATAAGCTCTTTCTTAGTTCCTTATATAAGAAGATATATCGCGTCTTTATTAAATATAAATAAGCTATTAAAAGAGACTTAAAGTTATATAAAATTTACTATAGTAATAAGATTACTATAGAAATTAAAGAGAGGATATTTATAGGTTATAAAGAAAGAAAGAATAGAGTATTAGAATTCGTTTATAAAAGTACGCATTTAGTACTTAGAAGGGTATTATAGAGCTTAATTTGTCCTTAATATCTTTAGTATTAGAGGGAATAGGTATAGGGGTAAAGAGAGGTAAATAGAAGAGTAGATAGGAGAATAAGGGGAGAGGGCGGTGAATAAGCGAGATAATAATTAGAAGAATCAGTGAAATAGCAAAAAAGTAATTTATAGTACTAGGTATTATTTACAATTCGCTTAAAACAAGGTGAATATAGGGCAGATAGGTGAATAAGGGGAGAGGGCGGTGAATAAGCGAGACAATAATTAGAAGGAGAAGTGAATTAGCAAGAAAGTGATTCATAGTACTAGGTGTTATTCACAATTTCCTTAAAACGCAGATATAGTAGTCATTTATTAATCTTGCTCTTCTTAGATACAAAACCCTCCCGACACAATAAATAGCTAAACATGGAAACGTCATCGACGTATCGAAATCTTATCATAGGTACGTAAAACCAAAAAAATCTTGTCAGCTTAACTTAGAATCATCAGGAAAAGAAAAGACCATAGGTAATAATACCCAATACGCAAAGGATGATATAACCAAGGGAACGGAAATCACTTCACAACGTAAAAAGAATAAAATAAGAGTAAGTTTCTATTATACCTCTTATAGATACATCATATTAACTGTTCATCAATACACAGACAAGCCCTACAACACTAGAAAAGTCTCACGATAACCCCAAGACCCACTACCCATTGACTCCAAACACCAAGTGATTCCCGGAACGTACCCTTTAGAGTCATCGTAAGCATCATGACGCACAAAACAGCTACTACTTCCGCCCCCTAGCCAAAAGCTTCTCCCCCAGTTCCGCTACCGCCTCACCCCAAGAACTTTTCTCCAACTTCCCCTTCTCTTTCACAATATTTCCACAACGACTTAACAAGAACTCCCCCATCTTTGGCTCATTAAACCTCTCGCCATACACTACACTAGCCTTGTACTCAACACCAACCTCAATACCTCCCTCAACACTCTTACTCTCCAGCCCCATCCCTACTTCAACCTTCGTACCCAACGGCGCGATAAGCAACATACTCCTAACCAAGATCGAGGAATCAGAAGTCTTCCCTACCTCAGTCGGACAACTAACACCAAGTAAGCGGATATCATCTACCACAGCCTGTGCCCGATTCCAAGAAACAGAAACGGCGTGGAGGAGATCCTTGACGTGTGTTTGGGCCTGTGGCAGTCCACGGATGTGGTCACGAATACTTTGAAGAAAGAAGTCTTTCTCGAGCGTGAGAGGTTGGGGATTGAGATCTCGGTTGGCGCCAATGTACCAAAGGTCAATACGAGAGTTGACCGATTTGCGGCGGGATGTTGTATGGCTTTGACTAGGCAGGAAAGAGGCAGCATCGAAAACTAGCTCGATGTCTTTATGGTATGTCATTGAAGTTGTGGTTCCAGAGACACCTGTGATAGTCCAACCATGCTCTTTTTCGAAGACATCGACCTTTGCTGAAAGGGTATGCATTAGTAAAGATGTTGAAAATAGGTAATGGAGAATCAAGTACCTTTCAAAGAGCTGATCTCACCCGAAGTCCATCCTCGGCACTCTTCTCTAGTTCTTTCTGCTTCGCTGATATCATCGATACAAGTTTGCTTTCGAGCGATCCCTGCTTTAATCTCGATTTCCTTACTTTCCAATTGTTTCCGGAGGTCGGCAATCATCCGCTTCTTCGAATCAATCTCCGAATCGACAACAATCAGTCTTTGACGAGCATCGGTCAATGCAACAGGGTCACAATTAGCAAGCTCTTCAGCAGAATCCCGCAGATCACCTTCTTCACGCTGGAGCGCCTGGGCTCTTTGGCTGAGCTTGGGAATGACAGAATTCAGTAAAACAATTTGGTGATCCAAAATCTGCTCATCTTGCATCATTCCTTCGCCGGTTTTGAAAAGCGCCTCTTTCAAAGTTCCAAGAAGGGTCATGCGCCAGTCGTACCACATCTCCTTACTCAATAGTCGTGCGTGTGTCTTGACATTTTTGAGTTGGTTATCCATGACAACCTTGATATCAGAAGTGGCGGACATATACTCGCGGAACAGCGGAGGGTTCTCTTCGAATGTTGCCGTCTCGATTTCCCGCACAGTCTTACGGCCTTCAGAAATGTATTTTCTCAATTCTTGACAAGCATGCTGAAAAAGCTCGAGCATAGGCACGGTTGCCGCACTCGCAGCAATACAGTCTTCGAGGGTCACTCCAAAACTGATTCTGCCCTTTGAATTCCTATCGGATTTCGGTGCAATAGTGTGTCGACGTTTGGAGGTTGTTAATTCCATAAATCGAATGCTGGTCATGTTAAGAAAGTCTTGCAGCTGAATGCGGTCATCCTCAAAACTTTCCTCGTCGATCTGCGGGTCTTCAGTAGGATCTTTCTCTGCCAATGTCCCAACTTCCTGCTCGGCAGGGATTGCTTCTGCATCCTTGAAGCGACCCTGAACTCGTGGTGTTGTTGCTTTGGCCTTGGCTGGAGACGAAGTACTGGTAGGTGTCGCAACAGGCTTTTCGACTTCATCGATACTTTTTCGACTAGCTCGAGTCACGCGTCCCGTTGTGGTTTCTTCTTTTGATGGAGGCCCACTAAGTCTAACATTCTTGACGGGGCTTCCTTGGTGGTTCTTCAGCCGCTTGATACCTCCTTGGTCCTCATCCTCGTCATCCTCGTCTAATTCAACCGGGCGTTTGCCCAGAATACCCTTTGCAGCGCCCACATGCAGACTTTTCCGTGGCTTTGTCGATTTCTTCTTCGGCGATAAACTCTCGATCATATTTTTCAAGTTTAATGTCGCATCCGTTTCGTCATCAGCTTCGCGCTCTAGAACACTTCGCCCATTCTCTCGGTCCTCTTCCTGTTTGCGCTCCTTATCGATTTCTGCCTGCATGGCTCGTGGATCAAGGAAATGAACACCTCGGACAGCATCACCTGGAAGGCTGGGACTAAATGATGCTGCCTGCTCACCTATTGAGATTCTTCGGTCAAGAAGTGCGGCAACTCGAGGTGAACCAAGACCTTCGCGATCCAGACCAACACCAGAGGATCTTCTCCTCTGAGGAGTAAGAATGAAGCTTGGAGTAGTTGTGCCAGTTTTGTCTCTCTGAAACAATATATTGGGCGTGGCTGTTTTTTTGGCTCTGGATGATTGGGGAGTAGTGGATGCTTGAGGAAGGTCATTTTTGAAGAACTTCTTTGGAGATGAGGTACGGATAGTGACATTTTTGGATGGGGGCGTTTTACTCGGTGTCGTGGGACTGTCAACAGGCTGTGGCGTTAGTTGTTTGGGCGGGGTTGTTGATTTTGTAGGTGTAAAGCTGGACGAGAGTTTGGATTTGGGAGTAGTGGATTTCCTGGTATCAGTGCTGCGTCGAGCTCCCTTTCGGAAAGGCACTAAGCTTGGGCTGCCAGTTTCGGATGCAATTGTATGGGCAGGAGCGGTTGGCTTTGAAGGAGAGCTTGGAACATCAGCTCGGAATGGAGAACTTGCAATATCGGTCTCCAGTTCCATAACCTTCTTGGCTTCTGCTCGGTTTTCGAAAGTGACTGGCGGCTGTAGTATTCCTCCAAGAGCTGCAGTCATATCCATACCAATAGTGGGATCCGGCTCTTCTTCGGCATATTGTGTATTTGTAGCCATGATTCCTCCCACAGCAGCTGTCATGTCCATAGTGTCACCACCAGTACGTGAATCAATGCTCTCCCGCGCATTCTTCGGAGATTTTTGCAAAGCTGCCATGGACTGTCGTCGGCCCTTTGCTGGTGCTTTCTTCGGAGGAAGTACGCCACCAACAACTGAAGTGAATTCCATCGTCATATCTTCATCGTTGCCAGGAGAGGAATTATCCATGCTTGGTTTGATCCCACCAACAGCCATTGTCAAATCCATCGTTTCATCGCCCATGGATGACTCCTCTCCAAGAGATTTCCGGCGTGTACTTTGGCGGCGATTTGAGGATGCTGGTTTTCGTTTGGTGGCAGTATTTGATACTGGATTCGTAATGATACCTCCAAAAGCTTTGGTAACGTCCATCGACAATTCGTCGTCCTCGCTTTCATTGGTCTGCGCAGTAATGATTCCGCCCATGGGTCTCGTCATATCCATCGTGAGGTCCATTGAGACATCTTCACCCTCAGATTGGTCGGCTTCCTCTTGAGGCGCATTCATTTTGTAAGCTGATGAAAATGGATTGACGTTTTCCTGATCTCCTTGTGACTCGAGGTTTTCAAGGGCTGCAAGCTTCGTCCAAGGAGCGAATGCAATTTCTTCAGTTTCTTCTTGTTCTTGAGCACCAGCTTGACGCGCAGCTTGCCTCAGAGCTTCGTCAAGACGAGAGCTTGTACTTGATCCGGATTTTGAGGAAGCCAATGACATATCCATGGTGTCTCCAACATCCATACTCATTGCTGTATCGTCAATTATATCAGAATCGCTGTTTGAATTAGAATCAACATCCATGTCATCCATCGGCTCTTCCTCTTCAACTCCAGAATTATCACTAAATGGACTTGATGAAAACACTTCATCTTCTGGATTGTTAAAGTTCATAGGAGGTATACCAGAGCTTCGGCGACTTTTCTTTTGGTGCAGGTCGCGTTGATGGGCAGGGTTTGAACCATCTGTTTCTTCTTCTACTTGTTCTGGTGGAGTCGAGGGTGGTTCTGATGATTCAGATTCTGGAAGGCCAGGAGTTTGTGGGGTGGATGCTGAGGAAGCTCGTCGAGATGTCGCATTTGAAGAAGTAGTCGAGTCCTGGTATTCCACCACAACATCCCACGTATGTAGAGTTGCCTCTGGAGCAAAAGATACCCGACGGTTTGCCAATGACTTTCTCCTATTATCTCGTCTAGATGTAATCTCTTTCTCTAGTGCTTTTCTTTCCTGTTCTTCACGTTCTCGTGCGGCAGCTTGCTGCTCTTCCTCGGTCCTTAGTGTCACTCGAGTCTCAGCGACTGCAGCATTTGCACCAACATCAAATGGGTTCGCCAGATTGTCCGCCCCGCTAACCGTTGGTCCAACATCGAAATCGATTAAATTTTCGGTTTTGTTTTGGGTTGGCGGGGTAGTTTTCTTGGGATTCCCTCTTCGCGAAGGATTATGCGCCGGGATTTCTCGAAGTGGCGGCATCGTAGGTTTGAGAATGGATTTGGGTGCGGGATGAGGTACAGTAGCTATAGACTGGTTTCCCGTTAGAGGGAAGCGATGAGATTTCATTGCTCTATACATACTTTGCGACGATTCCCAGTTGTATCCTTCAGCGCATCCAATCCTCCAGGACCGATACTCTTACTCCGAGATTTCTTTAGCGGCTTAGCTGTGGGGGCTCTCTTTCCACTTGCCAACGCAGCAAAGTCGGTCGTCATATTTTCCTGGTCCATTGTGCCGGCTGAGGGGATGGAGCCTAGAGACTTGCGAGACTTTGGGCGCGTCGCGGGGAGGGTGACTTCATTTCGAGAAGCCATTGTGAATTGTGCGAGCGTGGAGCTCAAAGTGGAGGAGAGGCGACGACAGTGAAATGTGTTGACGGGTGATCATGAATAATGTTGTAGAGTTGGTGACGGAAGAATCATGTAGTCTACAGATGCACGCACGATATACCCGTGTAATTGGCAAGCATCCCCGTCACGTAAACAAACATGGGCGGGAGGGCAAAAAAGCGCGTTGAGTGGTTGCCCTAGGTTTCAGGCTGCAATAACCTTTTTCCTTATCCGACCTTGAGCCAGGCCCTCGCGGTGTCACTGCAGTGGACCCATCACCTTTCACCTGGCAGGGACTTTCGACAGGGCTGCCAGAAATACACGTGACCCTCACCATGATTTGCACCGGGCCGGAGTCGGAATTAATGGTCCGATCAGCTGATCCCAAACCCACAGTCGACATTTTTCAAAAATACCTAGCCTCGACTCGCATCTACAATTTTCCAACGACCAACCGCCAACCTCGACCTTTTGCGACTTTCGTACCTCGACACGACGAAATCCGCAACCATGGCCACCGAACTTACCGTGCAATCGGAGCGCGCTTACCAAAAGCAGCCTCACATTTTCCTCAACGCCAAATCAAAGGCCAAGTCTAGAAGAGTTGGAAAGGGTGGACGAAGATGGTATAAGGATGTCGGTCTGGGTTTCCGCACACCAAAGACTGCCATTGAGGGAAGCTACATCGGTACGTGAGATTTGATCCTGCGCGATCTTCTGTGAAGGAATGGAAATGGGGAGTTTGGCACCAGCTCGAGGGACATGGAGGGGCTATGGGCTCTGGGATATTTTACGCGGCAAGGGCTGCATCTCGATTCTAGATCAGAGGCGGCGATGCGCTGCACTGCATCCATACGTGCACAACAAACTCGAAGCTAATTCATCCATCTACAGACAAGAAGTGCCCCTTCACCGGTCTCGTCTCCATCCGTGGTCGTATCTTGACCGGTACCGTTGTTTCCACCAAGATGCACCGAACCCTTGTTATCCGCCGAGAATACCTCCACTTCATCCCAAAATACGCCAGATATGAGAAGAGACACAAGAACTTGTCCGCACACGTTTCCCCAGCTTTCCGTGTCTCAGATGGTGATCAGGTTACCGTTGGACAATGTCGACCATTGAGCAAAACTGTATGTTTTTTCAAATGGCCCATGGGGCAAGAATGGCTTCGCACAAGTCAAAATACTGAAATGAAAAAATAGGTCCGATTTAACGTTCTCCGTGTCATGCCCCGAGCTGGCAAGAATGTCAAGCAATTCAGCAAATTTTAAGCAAAAACAGGTTTCTTTGGGGTTTTACATGGCTGCATGGGATTTGCTGTTCGCGGCAGATAAAGTAGGCTGTGATCATATGGAGTCCGCCAATTTGGCAAGGAAGACAATGTGCATTAGCTTCAGAGAGTACATGATGAATGCAACAAACGTCCACTGAAGGAGGTCTTTAATACTACGATCGGTGATTTGGTTTTCCTGGGAAGTGAGGGTGAATTGCTGCAAAAAAAAAAAAAACAGTGACCTTTCAGCTCGACAGAGAATACGCCGAAATTCTTGTCCTTGGATGAAGGCGAGTCTTCATCACAACCGTGTACTGGGACAAACTTTATTTTGATATATTATCCATTGTAAAAACGGGCCTGATACCCGCTGTTCCCCCAACGAGAAAATATGGATTATGTGGTGTAAACTGTGAGACATGTAAAGGTGCCTGGACTGAAGAGGTAAGGGTGTTGTTCTTGGTCCTTCATACCGCAGTTTGGATTACTTATCCTGCTCTCGCATAGAGGGGTTGCGACGTTCTAACTTCTAGGAAAATCAACCTGAAGATTAATCCGATGCCTCCAGCTGCTACATCACTAAAAGACGTGGTGGTTACTGTGCTTATACCTAGATCACGACAATCTTGTCCTGAAAACCTCGTACAACTACAATATTTGTACGAGTAATTTGGGACAATCAGATTTGCTATATTTTGATTGACCTAAGTGATTGGAATAATCAATTTGGTTGTCTTGAGACTTGGGAATTCTACTGTTGGACGATGGGTTTGTCGGTGTGTGTGATTTAATGGGCTGATATCTTGTAGCTTCTCTTCTTACGCCGTGCTGGGTTGTGATGAAATGTTGGTACCAGTTGGCGAGTTCTTACTGTGGATTCTAATTGCTGCTTGGAAGTTGGATGAGAGGGTGCTATAATTATGAGCTATTTTGCTTGATATGGTGTTTTTTGAGTTGAGTTTTGAGGCCGCTACCGGGTTTTCTGGCTGGCGGAAGTATGAGAAGGAATGATTAAACATAAGGGAAGAAACCCAGCTTATTTCCATACTATCAGCTTGTAAGTGACTTGAAAACAGTTCTATTTGTTTTTTATTCTTAATTTCCAACATGGAGGCTTTAAATTTTTGAAATGTTGTGTCTTGTTTCTATTCGTAATTCGTCATAGACTCATAATACTCTTACTTCAAAACCTCAATGTTAATGTACAACAAACTTGTGTAGTAAACGAAATGTAATGACGGTGCTAGATACGGATTCACAAAATCCTCCGTGTTGATTTTTCGAGGTGCGTAATCGGCTGATGTCATTACAGTACGACGTGCAACAAAATCCATGGGAAGTTTCTCTTTTTGGTAATTTGAAGGGGGATTCACTATTTTATTGCACGGGGAAATGGGGGAACGGCGAGTTCGTTTTGTTGAGTTCCGATATAGGGATATTCATAAACTCGCTGGGGTTCTGTGAAGAAAGGATGGAGGAGGAAGTGAATTATATATGAGGAAGTGTTTTAGTTTTCTTGCCTTTTTCTATGTAAAAGTTGGGTCTTTGGGAGACGTGTGGCGAATGAGTGCCCTATGTTAAGCCTTAGTTAAATCCTAGCTCTGACCCATTCCTTCATTCCTGAGGCATCTAGTAACAACATGCATACTTTTTTCAAAGCGTTCTGGTATTGTGGTGTTGCTGATGGAGGAGATATAATATATTCGGTGTAAGGGAAAGTTTCATTTCGCGGAACTCAGGCTCTTCCGAATCCACTATTAAATGCCTTCAAGACTGCATCTAGAAATTATATAGAATGAAGTTCCAGATACTGAACGTGAATAGAGGAGACTCCGGTTATACTGCTGTTTGGTCTGAGTGTTTCCATATTTGCTAAGCGAGTGCCACTGTGTGGTCGTGTTAGCTTAATGAGTTGCACTGTTTGTCGGCAAAGCGATTATGTTGCGACAAAGACTTGTTATTATCTATCAAAAATTAAATGGTCAGATCCGAATGATTGGGTTTGCTAAAGCTTTAGTTTAGTCGAGAAAGAGGTTCAATTAATGTAATTAACTTCTCTAAGAATATTTTAGCTAGTAATTGCTACAGTCTCAATTTGACGCTGAAAACCCGGGTATTGCTAGCATGAAAATAGTTATTTGATAATATATTGCAACATTATTCCACAAAATGCGTGCAGAATAGCTTTTATGAAGAAACATTGAACTATTCGTATATTCAACCACGTGACCTTCAGGGAGGCTCCACTTGTACTGTACTACTCATCTCTCGGTGAAGATTGCCATAGGTATGCAGGTTGATTCTTTACGATCTTACTCAAAATGACTCCAAACGAAATCACAGCCACCATAGGAGCCTTGGGATTCATTCGTTTCCATGCTCTTTTGAAGTTTTGGCAGCGCTTATGGAAGGTTACAATGTTCATGCAGCTCTACACCAAAGCCGTTTGAGAAATGTTTCTTTCTATTTTACAAACCAAAGCTCTCGCTGAAGATAGAAAGCTTTCGTTCATAACTGTCCCAGGTGCCTTCAAGATGGGAGTGTAGCCCTGAAAGATATAACTTACTTCAATGACGGCGTTCCTCCGTTACAAATCCCTCCAAGATCTGTCTCTGACGTCTTCAAGGCCACTGTCAATGGTGTCGTAAAGATCCTAGAGTCTGTAAAGAAAAGCCCCTCCGTCCAAATGTGATAACCTCCTGGTTCGTAGCCAGCATTTCATAGCCACCAAAAATCAACTGATGAGGAGATCAATGGCTAATCACGAATGCACACCCTTGAGACACCTATACAAGGCCTGTGTAATGTACATTTCGCTGGCAAAATTCTACTCTCAATGCAACAAGTTATTCCGTCAAGTCCAATCATCCTACCTTCAGAATTGCTAATACCGTTACAAAGTCAAACAAAGACCGAGCTGTTCACTTATTCCAATTGTCCTCTACTCGCCACACTCTTTGGATCGTCTCAGAGGTGCAGCCCACATTGAAGATGTGGCCAATCTACAAGATTCATATTCTTGCATTGAAAGAAGATAATGGAAAAAGTGCTTCAGGGTCACCGTGCACGCAGTCTATAATGACTCTTTTGATATCACTGAAAAACAATCCCCCCCTGCTGTCAAGAAAGATGTTTCAATATTCACCTTCATTCAACCCCTTCTTGCTGCTTTCCTGTTGTGTGACCAGCTTATTCCGCCACAGTATCTGCCTATTTTACCTTCGCTCTTGAGTTAGAGTGTCAATCGAGGATGAAAGTAGGTTCACCTTTATATGTCACCTCTCTTTCTACTCACTTTGCGCTTTCTTTTTTTATAGCCTCCTTATCCGCTAGCTCTTACCTCATTCGATTTAGCTCTTATTTTATAATTCAGATGAGGGCAAACGCGGAATCTTCGAGTTTTCAAAATCCACCTTTCCTTTTCAACTTCCAATCTCCAACCTTCAGCCTCAACTCTCTGCCTTCAACTCTTGACCCCTAATTCTCAACCTCCGCCTCTCAACCTCCCACTCTCAAGCCCCAATTTTCAAGCTCCCACTCTCAAGCTCCAGCACTCAACCTTCAATTATCATTCCCCAGCTCCTACCTCTCAAAATCAACTCTTAGAATCTCAACTCGGTATTGTAAGTCCAGATTGAACTCAAAAGCCGCGGTTACCAAAAATTGACCTTCACCTTTCATTTCCTATAATACACAGCCAGAGCGGGTATATTCAAGCTTCAATACCCAGGTCAAATTGAGACCTCATCTGGTTTAGCGTATAACCCGTTTGATGCTTCCTGATTTGGGAATGTATCGGCGCTAGCGGTATGAAGTTATATCTTTTACTGTTTTCCCCGACTTTTCTTTCCAGTCTACAACTATTTTCCTACGCTTCAGACTCCGGAGTTTCTTAAAACTCACACTTGATCCACAGCTAAACTCCAAACTTTTACGAAACCTACACTTGATCCGAGACGCTATTGGAGATATTTCAAAAGTCCGAGACTTGATCCGAGACGCGTAGGGTACTCAACGTATCTACAAATATAAGTCTTTGATCCGGATCAAGGATAACAAATGTATGTTCTCACCTTTCTTTCCCTTACCTTTTACTCTTGCTAACAGAATAATAGTTTGCTAGCGTCGCTACTCAAGATCCTCCCAGACCGAAGACTTTATCTGGTTCTTCAAGTGTAACAAAGGTATATTATCTTTTTATTGCTCACTTTGACCTACTATTAAAAGAATAATAGCTGATCCGGGGTCCACCGTGTGATATCCGACCAAGTCACAAAAATATGATTCCCAAAGAGGCGCCGCAACGTCCGGGTCACAACTCCCAGCCTAAATACCACAAATCCACCGAGGTCGTTAGGTCTGATAACGACACAGTTGTTGACCCAGAACGATTCGCCCAATTCTCATATCAAGGGGAAATCATTCCAACTGCTGAACAGATCATTGATCTGGCTGAGAACGCTAAATGCGAGGCAGATCGCAGAGAGATCTTATCACAAGACCTCAAATCATGGACTACATTGAACGAATTCCTCAAAGAATCAATTCTAAAGTTACAACACTTCGTCAACAAACTCGACCCTGATTTAAGACGCGAGTTATCCAAAGAGTTTTATCCTATGTTACAAGCAACGGCCCCGAATGACGAAGAGAGCAGAGATCGAGTGGCTTCATCACGCAGTCGGGTTTTGAAAAAATGGGGTGACGACGAGCGCGGCAAGGAAATCATCAAGTTACTCTGGGACGGAAGCGAAGTATTCCATGCCAGCGGCACAATGAATAAATTGGCACAATTGGGGGAAAGCTATGGACCAATCGACTTTACACGAGCAATCAATCTCCAATGTTTACAACGCATAACCGAGAAGCGACTGGATCCGTCGAAACGTATTAGAGGAGATAGGAAATGGATTGTACAGGATATCACCAAGGCGGCTGCTAATAGAAAGAGTGTGGTCACTCCAGTAACACCGTTGGACGCTGACCTCCTGCGTGCTACTCGTTGTCGGCTCAACAATCTTGCCATGGTACAACAGGCCATCGATAAAGGGAAGGCGCCTAAGGTTTTTGCGTCAGAAATGGATGCGACATTCGTTGAGAGAAAGGATGCCACATCAAATCGCCCACTCAAGGTACAAGACACCCGCCAAAAACCCAAAGGACATGATTCAGAAACAGAACTCGAAGACTACGTCGAGAAGCCCGAGAAGCCCACGGAAAAGCGCGCGGCCGAGCCCCTTGCCCCGCTGGACTCAAAGAGAATCATGCGAGAACAACCAACTCAAGTACCATATGGTATTGAAGATCATAATGATACCGAAGTCGAACTCTAGGGTACTGTGTAGATTCCTTCTACTACCTCGTCATGGGTGATCCGGATCAGCCGTGATCCTGAAAATTCATCTCTCATTTCCTTTTAAACCATCCAGATCAAGGCTCTTCGTGTACTCAAATACCCTTTCTCCCACCAAAAGAGTCCATGGTCAATCCCTATATTTATTTCTTACTTTGTGTTTCACTTACGTTGTACCTTGAAAGGTCATTCATCTTCACGAATCTCGTCCGCGACCATGGTGGGATGATGCCTTGGTGCATCGGAGGATAGACGAGGTGTTCTTATTCCGTTCACATTAGGACACTTGCAAAAAGGTGGCAGATACCCACACGGATGCCTCAGGGAAGAATCACATACATTTAGTCACAATATACCGTCTTTTGAAAATATTTCTTCGCCATTCTACACCAATGTGATTATCTTAAGTAACACATAAAAGGACATATCACATGGGGTCGTTTTGCTGAAATTTGAGCTTTCCCGTATAGCCGGTTCCCCGTTTTCTGCCTAAAATGTAAACCTGCGAGTTCGTGATTTCTGATTTCGTGGTATCTTCTCCCGGCTCCTTGTCCCGCTAAGCTGTTTTTTGCTTGTTTAACGAGCCCCTAATCTAAACGCGTCTCTTTTTATATGGAAATATATGTGATATAGAAGCTAGTAATATAAGAGAGGTAGGCATTACTCCGTATACCCCTGGGTTATAAAATATTATCCTAAAGACCTCACACAACGAAATCTATTGTACGAATAGTTTAGAACAATTGATACTTTTCACTCCTTATTAACCGAGGTAAAATGGGACAATTAATTAAGTTGTGCCAGACTTTTGGCATAATAACTTTCAATGACGTGTACAGAGCAATGTCCAGATTTCTTACAGTACAAGACCAATAAATATTTTGGTCGGACCGCGACAAAGAACTTCAATTGGCTTACAAAATGAGCAGTAGATTTCTCACTACATTTCTACGACGCAATGAGGGCTTTGGAAATCTCAAATCACGAGGCAAAGGGAATTTTCATTCGTACTACAACAATTGATATCACATCCGCTACCATACCATACTTCCACAACAAAACATCGGCTTTGAATATTCTAGATGGGAAAAGTGTATGTTGGATTTGTATTGTAGCAATGTTTGAGAGTATGGGAATGACCTGAACGGATATTTGTGCGCATCTTTGAGGACTATAGGATGTAATTTGTTGTTTGCTACTACGACGGGAAATGAGATGCTTTTACATTTTATCCGGAAAGTTAAAATATACCGACTTCGGAAATTATCGCGATTGTGGTTTGTACTAGAGTCAAGCAGAGAAACAAGGACGGGTGCAGGTACAAATCAGGTCCGCGAGGTACTGTATTCGACCTCTCCTGTCGCATATTCGACAAATATTTCGATGGTTTGCAAATTTACAGACATACACGAACCTGGGAATCGAAAGTAGAATTTCTTTTGTGAAATTTATGACTAAGTCATCGCTCGTAAAATCTTTTCAAGTATCTTTTCATCATGCCATCAAAACGATCCCTCAATGCCATTTCACCATGCCATGAGAGAATCCATGTTTTTCTAAACCCCAAATTCCTGTGCGCCAGTAACTTTTTATGTGCCACACTCCAATAGATCCTTCATGATCAAGACTATTCATTCCTTACGGACGCAAGCTCTATTTTCGTCGTTATTCATGGGTTTGACAACTAGGAAGTCTACCTTGTGGTATAAGACATGCAGGTTCGCGCACAGTAGCGTTCGTACCGCGTAATTGATCGCTTCGATCTCTTCCCATCCTATTTGTAATAACCTTGGCCAGGAATTCATATTGCTCTTTCAGGCCATCCATATGTTTGTTTGCGTGTGTAGTCAAGGAAGGGAGGGAGCTTCTCGAAAAGAGACTTTTGTTTTCGGCTGCAAGAGCCACGGCAGAGTCCCAGATTCCAATAACGCCAACCGGATTTGTCTGTGATAAGCTGGTATCATTCTCTACTTTATTGATGATACCGGACTTAAGAACTCTTTGGTTGGGTAATCTTACATGAAGGTTTGTGAGTATACAAATCAAGATTTCCATCAGCAGTCTTGACTCGAAAAGCGTAAAGAGCCCACAGTATCCTCTGGATTTCTTCTCTACTCACCTACATTTCAAAAGACCTCTCAACCCAGCAAATCTTATTTCCCCAAATCCCCTCATAAATCAGCAGTCTTCAACGCAAAATGAAGATCACCGCTTTTTTGTTTGCCATCTTCATATCTTTCGGCATAGTCCCCATGGCTGTAGCCATTGAAGAATTTCGCTACGACCCCCCACCTGAGGACGTCGCTGCTTACCAAGCTCTGGATACTGGAATTCTTGCTCTCCGTGACGACGATTCCACTGTGGAGGAGAAGCTAACGCCGGACCCCGAGTTGAGGGACATTCCAACCGATGAAGATAAGGCTGTGTATTGGCCCAAGGACTCCTCTTCGCTAAGTTCGAGGGGCGAGTTTGCCCTAGAGCCTAGAGTATTCATTGATAGGCCAGCTTGGTTTCTGGATGGTTGCGTATGTATATTATCAGCTTGATATTTAAGTTACTGACTATTGCAGCTGGGTTGTATCGCTGCGGAGGTATTTAGGCAGATAGGCATCATTTGGTTCTACAATCAGACTCCCCACAACGGAAGGGCGCATTTGGAAGGCTTTGCTCTCTGAATATATACCCGAGGGCTTCTGGATCTTTTCTGAGATTATACTGACTTTTGGTGCTTCAGCGCTTTCACATCCTGCACAAAGATTTGGATTCATGGTGTAAACACCCCTTGCGACCCTCAAGTGAGCGCTATCGATAAAGATGGATCATATGTTACTAAGGCCGCAGCAATATGGGTTAGGCATATTATTGCGCAGAATGGATTCATACATATCTAGTTTTAGTGCATTAAACGGCTGAATGTCAATTCATTGGTGGGAATGGATGCTATAGGCGCGTGCTGGTTTTGGAGAGTGTTTGTAATGGCTGCCCTTGTTTTTCTACTGTTTTCCTATTTTTTGGCGCTGGGATCTTTTCTGTTTCCTTAACACTATCATTAAGCCAAATGAATCATCTGAAAGGACTCTTATTTTCTACACAAAATGCACGCCTACAAATCTTCACTCCAGGGACCCATTTCTACTCATTCTACTTTGTCTGGCAGAGCTTTCTTCAAGCTATTGCTATTCACAGATGTCACTTGCTTAGCTCCACTCAACTTTCCACAGCTATAACCAGTAATCTGGGTTGGTGGCAACTAAAATGATGCCAAATGGTGTTATGATACCACACCCTCCAAGATCAACCTTTGGGAAGTTGTCCCAGTTGACATGGCGAATGATCTTAATTATACCTGTTAGCATATCGACTCTCAGTGTTAGGCAGTGTGTGTCGTCTCCACTCTGGAAATAGTTCGACTGCAATACATAAAACCTTGAATCATCCCAGCGCAACAACTTAAACCTTGCATAGCGTTCCACATATCTGTCTCTCGGATTTTCACTGCTGCGTGGCGGTTTGTTGAAGTTGTTCAACTGAACCTCACTGTTGTCTGCGCCTATACCACCCCACACAGTTCTCCGTAGCCCATCTGATGAATGATAGCACCAGTATTCATAACCTGTCCACTGGGAACCCTCGAAGAAATCAGGACTAGCCATGACTGCAATATGACAAAGACCGAATACTTTCAAGCTACCCGAATCGAACAAGGCGGGAAGATCCATTATGGAGGAGAATGGAATACTCCTAGGTAGCAAGGGGCGTGAGTAGCCCACCAGTGCCCATCAATCATTCACATCCTCGGGAAGCTGAGCCAGATATGCTCCAAAGCGAGCACCAAGAAGTCCAACAACCCTGTTCGCAAGTGTATGATGAATAACCACCGATTTTGAGTCCTCTTCGGGCCGCAACTGCGGGTTCGTTTCTCCTATGTTGATCCATGAACTCGTTTCAAAAAGCGCCTTAGTGGGAGCCCATGGATATCGATAGGGGCCATCACCAGAGAAGCTTTGGCAGAGTATGGCATTAGTGAAGCAGAAGCTAGCAGCTTGCGCCATGAACCAAATATCGATGTCAATGCGAGATTTTGGATTACTGGGGTAATCTTGATCGAGTCGAGAAACAGCAAGCGACCTCTAATTTTCGAGAACAAAATACTCAGGGCCATGATAAGTTGGATCGGACAAAACGTGGAGTTTGTCAAGATCAGCATTGGAAGACACCTGGTGTTCTTAAAGTGTTTAGAATATGGTATGCCGCGTTTCTAGGTGAACTCACGGTGATATGCCATCGCTTGGGGCAACCAAAGGAGAATATTGGCATCGTACTTGAGGCTGTGTGTTCTAGAGTCAACTACGGCAAACTTCTTCCAGGTCATCCGACTTGCATCTACCAACCAATTGGGACACGTTGCAAAGCCATAGTTTGATTGAACTGTTTGCCGCCAGGTACTCATTTGGTCGCAGGTATCATGAATTCTTCGATTACATAGCACGAAACTTAAGGCCGATCGAGGAGGGAGAAGTTTTGCCACGCGCAGTAATCGTTTGGCGTTAGAGTAGGCAAATGGATAGACGAATTATATTCGGATAAACTTTTATTTTATGCTTTTAAGATTATTTGTATTTATTTTTATTTATATTTTAAATATATTGATTCTTCTGAATATTTTAATAGAATATCGAATATTTATAGATTATAAGGATAAAAGTAATTCTAGCGTATTAGTAGTAGAGCTAAGAAGCTTACTTTTCTCCCCCTTTAATTGCTCTCTATCCCTTCTATCTAATTACCTACTTATATCTATATTATAAAGTAGAGTGTTTAAGTTTTTAAAAACTCTAATTATTATCTAAATATACTTTATTATTAAGAAAATAGCAGTCTATTTCACTATTATTTCCTTATATTATGTAAATTAGAAGGAGAAGGAATTGTGCTAGGGAGGCTAAAACTAAAAACTAGTGTAAGTCCTTTCCTGTTTTATAATCTACAACACTATCAATGAATATAATTTTTAGGCTCGGCGAGCTCTAGCTGAATAAGCTGAAAATAGGTACAATTTCAAAGGATTTAGCTAGTACCTATAAAATCAACTAATTATATATATGCTCAAATATTCGAGAATATTCGAGATTTCGGGGGGAGTTCTATTATTTTATTCTAAAATCTTACTCTATTTGTGAATATATTCTATATAGCCTTACTTTATTTATATTCGCTCGAATACATGAATATTCATATTCGTTTATTCCTTCGCCTACTCTAGTCGGCGTAGCCATCCTTCCCACGATACCTGTGACCAGGCAGTGTTGGGAGCTAATTGAAGATTGAGATTGAAAATTGGAGCAAACGGGTAGTTAAGCTCGGCTGTGTAAATTTGAAGAAATGGAGAGAAAGGATGGCGATGTTGGTTTATGTAAAGACATCATGATTCTCTTGGCGTTTGTGAAATAACTGGAATTCGATTGGGTCGCTTAAGCCCACCCAACTATGCAGGATTGCCAACCATGCGCTTTATGATTCCCTTGATGGTCCTGATTTGGAAAAGAAAGAGGGCGAATACACAACAGTTGATGTTATTAATATAACGTCCCGTCCGAACCGGGTGGTTTTCGAGCGGCCCAATATTGTTTACGTAGCGTGTTGGTTCTTTTTCTACTTTAGTGCCAAATTTGATGGAATGATATGATTGGTATCAGTAGAACATGATCTTCGGCGTTTCAGCAATAGCGCCAACGACTAGAATCCCTGCCTCACTATCACGTCAAATGCAAGCAACGTTAAAATGATCCGCGCCCGAGGTACCATGATTCACAAGCCATTTGTCGGCAGAACAAGATTTATGATCACTGGTTGCTATACCTTAGTTGTTTCTATCTGAGATATATGGCGTATTGGAGGTTGATGTTTCAGGTAAATCATCGTTCTTCAATTGTAAAACAATCCCCTCAGTTGCGCTAAGACTAGCTTTGCTGCGATCCGCAACCAAAACTCAAGGCCGAAATAGGGTTAAATGCATCTTTGACCACAGGAAACCCTTCACAATCATAAACCCTGATTTATTACATGTCAAACCCTATAGAAAATTTAGCGAATACACAACTCCTACTACAAGACGGACTTTTCGAATTACCAGCGAGCAACCTTGAAAATTAATGTATATGAGACTGAAAAACTCCCTCTTATTGTGCGGCGGTACTTATCCAAGTGACATGCAAGACTCTTGCTTTTAGAAAATCAATCCATACCAGATGGGCCTATGGGACCTGATCGGAATCAACTATGATATAACCCCCAATCCCCGACTATATCACCCGACAACACATTCCTCAACGTAACCTAATATCGATAGACTGTAAAACATAGCTAGATACGGCTTTTATAGAAGAAGAATTCTATGAAGTCTTTATCCCCTGCCAAAAAGGATATTATATTCTTTATACTTTCCACTAAAACATATAATCAGTAAATGTTTCTCGAGATATATATACAATTCGATGGATTCAAGAGGACATAACACGTACCAGTAATAAGTATTACCGATGCAGCCACAAAGTATTTCCCAACATCTAGCACTAAGGTGCAAGTAGAAGTAATCCACATCCATATATACCCAAAAAATAGTTGGAAGACTGTGCGTTTTATTTCAATGGGAACTGGAGTTGAAGTGCAAGCAGGAAGTATAGTGGAGGCAGCTGGAAATGCGAATAGAGATGGCTCGAGATTCATGAGTGTGGAGTTTGTGTGGATGGCAAAAGACACGCCAAAAGAGATTATATTCCGGAAAATGGTTGTTTGGAAAATATACTGTAGGTTCATCGTTGCGTTTAAGTTTGAGAGTTGTGGTTGTGTTTATGTTCGAGGTGAATAGATTTCTGGGGGGCGCGGTTTATTATACGTACTGGGGGAGCGACTAAATGATTGGTGCAGTCCCAAAGGGGGTTCGGCGTGAAATAATAGGTCATTTCAGGTTCTGATGTAACAAATCTCAAGTGTGCCCTTAAGCCCTGTTGTGTTCCTTAGCGGTAATACCTAGCCTACTATACGGTTATAACACGGTTTCCGTACCGAGGTTTTTCTCTGACCGTAATCCTTAAACTACCTACAATTCACGGTTGCTTAAGGGTTACTGTTATTTCGTATAACTATATAACGCGATTTTGCGGTTGTAGGTTCTTAACGGTTAAAAAAGATTAATGGTCATAAGCGCTCTGATTGGCTCGGAGAAAATCTTGGCGCAGCGGGAGCCTAGGCCCTCGACCGACCCTCGAGTGTACGCTCGCTCGAGAGAAAAGAATAAGGATAACTAGCTATATTAAATACTTATCGGCATAACTTGTCCCGAAGAACGTCTACAAGCTACTTAATTCTACTAAAAGTATACCCCTTAATAAAAGTTTAGTCTACCCCCTACTAAGGGTATACTACTCGAGTATAACCTAGTAGGAGTATAGGGACACCTAAATTAGGTAGTAGAGCACCTAAATTAGGTATCCCCGACTACCTAAATTAGGTACCCCGAGAACTTTAAAAATTTATAAATTTATAAATCTACTAAGTTAAACTCTCTTATTATAAAGAGAACACTTACTTATATATATACTTAATCTGGTCTGTCTGGTAAGATAGGATTATAGACTTTTAAGCGAGAAAAACGTGCATATTTTAGTCGCTTTGCATAAAAGGTAAACAACTCGCTTATAGCTCGGATCTTTATCTAATTGGTTAGAATCGGCCGACCTTGCATATGGCGTGCAGGCAGGAACACCAAAAGTACGATCCAACTCACAAGTCCGCATCGAGCCTATAACTCTTCTAAGACTTTCATTCCTGAGGCATAGACATGTTAGCCTAGTGCGCTACAATCCGATGTTTTTGGAATGTACGTACGATTATTATAGCGGGAGTTATATAATTTAGAAGTTATTGCTCTCTGATTACCACCTTTGAATTGCGACCGTGCCTTACATCTACCAGGCACCCACGCCCCCACGCAGGAACACCAAAACCGAGAGTAGTACTCTCGCGCCCGTATCGCGCTGGAATCGCATTAAAAACACTCATTAATTAGACATAAATAATCTAAGCATTCCAGCTACATTCCAGTGTTCTGGCTATGCTTTCACGATAACTATAGCTAGCAGAGGGTAGGCGGGAAGCTACGAGTGCGATCGTGGATTTTGGTGGGGTGACAGGGTGGTGTCGCTTCGAGCCTTGCCACGTGATTATCTGCCTTTAAGTCTTTTCCTTAGTATTAAGTCTTAATTAAATAACTTATTATTATCAAAGTATAAACCCTTAACTAAGACATATATCTACTTAAACTAAGGCGACTTAGTATATAAGTCTATAAACCCTCCCCTACTAGGTCTTTAAAAAAACTTAGTATTATGAATTAGTTATTTTTAATTATTTAAAACTTAATTAAAGAACTTATATATAATATTAATATAGGCTACCCTATAGGACTCCGGAAATAACGTAGGTAAAAGAGTAATAAGTTTATAGGAATATGGTGAGTACTTAGATTATAAGAGAAGAGTTTAAATTAAATATAAAGTTTATTTAATTAAATAAAAGAAAGTATAAGTAGGTAGCATTACAGAAATAGAAGCAATGCACGCCTATAAGAAACCGCTGAGAGAGTTTTTAATTACGTCTACCACTCCCACGATTCATTTTCGACTGTGATAAACCGTATATAGGAGGGAGTGCGCAAAAAGGTTTCATTCCATAGAGAGATGGTGGTGGTCCCTTCCGTTGTTGGGTGCTTAAGCTTTGACGTTGTGGTGCATGAACAAGAGTAAGAGGTATTGCACGAGGGCAGGAACGTACTAGGATTGAACTGATCTCAATTTTCATGTTACATTGCCTTAGTGAGATTGAGGCATAAAAGTAATAGCAATGAAATAAAAGTTTCCAAGATCCAGAACCATATTATATCGTAATCTGATTTCCGATTTCTAACAGACGCAGCACACCTAACCGCTACTTTGTGATGTACTCAACAAAAGCCTATAAATGATTGTTGGCTTACTGACTCCAATAGAGAAATCAATTTTTGACTATGCTCATACTGAAACTCGTATAAGATCTGTTTCCATACTCCTCAAAGCCACCGCAATCGTATATAATACCTATAAGATATGTCTTACGGGCTGCATAAGAAAATTTCCGCTTGAATATACAGGAATGTTTCCTGGGTTATTTCGTTAGAGAAAGTTGCCCTAAGAGAACTGAATATACTTGTACCAGACCTTTGGAAACCTTTCTTTGTCGTCCTTTACTATATGTTGCTAGAACAAATGAGCCACAATTGATTTTGGGAGAACACCAGAATTCTAGATTCTTCTGTGCGACATTATTTGATTGCCTCATGGCGCCCAATGATATCAAATGACATCTAATCTCAATGATATCCACTATGATGATGGCCAGAGCCTACTCAAGCTGTACTTCATGGGCAAGGCCTCTTTAGGAAGAAGTGTGAAGGATTTTTACTTCAAGTTTCTGCTGTTCCGCTGCGGCAGCCTTTTGTCACTGGGCGATTATAAATGTGTACGAAGCTTACTTTTGCGTGCTTGCGAGACATATCATGACCATAAACTATCTTTCCATTTACACTTTCTCCTGATTCAGAAGATGTTGGAACTAGGGCAGGTAGGTAGGCAAGCTTGGGGAGAGACTTGCAACTTCCTCAATAGCCTTCCAAAAACAACCAAAAAAAAAACCGCAGGCGCAAGCTGCAGCAACACATGCGTCCCTTTTTATTTTTTTCATTGCTCTCTGTCATGAACCTTGGACAACATCATGAACGACAACCACTGTATGCACCACTGTTTCCTTTGATTCTGCACTTTTCAAAAGCCGTTCCAGCCCCTATCACACCAGACTGCTGATGATTAACATAGAATTTAGATCAAAAATGACCAAAATGCCCCCACAAGTCCCCATAGAGGGGCAAGTCCGTGAAGTGTGAGTTCAGATTATCAATCCCATTACAAATGACTGCAGAATTCAGTACTAACCAAAGCTTCAATACAGCGATACCAACCCAGATAGAAAAGAAGCAGAGTAAGCCTAGCTGTCTAACAAAGTAATGTTTTGTGAAATACTAAATGTTATGTTCCACAAAAAGATCCTACGTAGAGGCCCTCCAGGCCGAAATGTACGTTCTCTCCCTACCATTTTCTGTCGTCTCAATCACTAAAATTAGTCTGTCTTTCAGTCTCAAAAGAAAAGAAGTGTTCGTATTGTTGCTTTTGTTTGGAGACACAGATTGCGTTAACACCTATTTGTTTAGTGAGGAGAAATTAGGGGAGGTGTAAGTGCACCTTTCCTGCGTATTCTTCAATCATTTAAATCACTAATCGTTTCAATAGGAATCGAACAATTCTAGATCTGTTTGTTACCCTTCTTTACTGTTTCCATATGTTTTCAACTAACCAGATTTCCTTCATTGAAGCTATTCCCGTCTTCAAGATGAGTTCGTCATTCGCTAAACTATTTTGTCTTTTTCAGTACTGATTTTTCTTAATAGGAGCCGAATCCAGGACAAACTGTCAGTATCGTCTCCATTCTCTCGCTTTTATCGTGCTAATATTTTTTAAATACAGCAAAGAAGAAGTCAATCACTTGTTAGTCTTATCCCCCGTACTTGTTTCATCTGTACCTTGCTTACATTGTATTGTCATAGGAAAAGTGACAATCATACCTTGTTCGTAGTTCTCACATTATGGTTTCATTAGAAAATTACTAAAGTTCTAGCGAAGGCGACAGGGAATCGAAACGCTGTAGGTAGTTTTGTTCCATTTTTGATAACTCTTAAAACTGATACCTATCTATAGCCAGACACAAGTCCAACAACTGTTCGTATTTAATGATCATTCAATTACTTTCATTACTGCCAACAACTCGTTATAGCCAAAATTCTGCAGATGACTCGTTAGTTAACCAAAATTCCTTCTTTACTACTATACTGATTGTTTTCCTTCTTAGCCACGCAACGCAGAAAGTCCTGTACGTATAAAATTCAAAGACCTATTCTAAAAGCTTCTAATGAATAACTTAGGGAACAAGAGATTGGACAAATGTTAGTCAATATGCCTCCCACAGGTCATGTTTATTTCCTACAACTGACGTTTGTCTTTGTTTCCCTAGACGTGCTTCAGCGAATCAGCAGTTAGTATTTTTCAACCCAATTCATTCTAGATTTTTAGTTAACATAAATGGATTCCATAGTAAACAGAACTTGATCAGACTGTAGGTGAGCTTCATGTCGTTGGAATTAATATAGACCCGATCAATATCTGTGCTAGGGCTTTTCTCAATCTGGAAGAGTAAGTGTGTTACTTTGTCCACGTTTACATCAGTTATGCCTAACTTGAATCCCTTTATTAAGAGCGGAAATTAAGAAGGTAGAGAGGGACAGAGACAGAGAGGAGGAGGAGAGGAAGAAGATGGAAGACGAGACAAATAATGAAATTCTCTCAAAATGGTAGTACTCTTTTTATACTCTACTTACAGTTATAGTAAGTACTAATAAGATTTATAGGAGGAGTGCACCCTTACCTGCTATGAAGGTAGTGGTGATGAATGCCGCAAAATTTGGTTGGGAAGTATTATATAAAGGGTAAGTACATGCATTTTGAATATAGCGGCGATTATAATGATCTCTATCATAACAGTAGCTTATCTTCACTAGTCATCACGACCTTTTGTTCACTCTCATCGGATACGGACTCGGCGGAAAACAGATTGAGCAGGGCAATAAGCAGATTAAGCAGGGCGAGAAGTAGAAAATCGTCGTTTTTAGTAGAATTCATTAGTGTATTTTATCTCAGCCCTCAGCCGCTGGGTCACATGGCCGATTTTCCCCCGCCCCGATTCGACCCCGTGCCACTCCGAGTACCTCCAGCTAATCACATCCCACCCCCCCGAAACGGCCATCCAGCAGGCTGGAGGTGGGTGGGCGTCGGAGTGGTTGC